ATATATACTAAACGATAGATAAAGTCCAAAATAAGCCTTACAGTTCTGTATAGCATACGCCACTGTCAGAATCCTTTCAAGTCTATTCATTTCCATGTTCACAACAGCCCTCCACTGGTCCCTATTCTGAGCCAGATGAATCTAGTCCATAACACCCCATCCTATTCTCTAAGATCCACTTGAATATTATCCTCCCACCTATGTCTATGTCTTCTTACTGATCTCTTTCCTTCTGGCTTTCCCACCAAAATTCTATATACGTTCCTCTTCTCCCTCATGCATGCTACATGCTCCTCCCATCTCATCCTCCTTGACTGGATCATTCTAATTATACTTGGCAAAGAGCATAAGTTATGAAGATCCTCAGGATGCAGTTTTCTCCAAACTCCTGTTACTCCGTCCCTCTTCAAACTGTGCCTAATGTTCATGTAATGTCCTAGATTTGTATACTGATATATTACTGACACCTGAGTCTGACTTGTTTGATTCATAGGTTATTTAATATTGTTTCTCTTGCAAATGTTTTTTATTTATTTATTTCTACTTTGTTTTGTGATACTGTTAGCAGCTGAGTCAAATGATTTATCAGTGACTAATTGTGCCAGGGATTTGAAAAATGGGGGGGGGGGAAGTTTCGAAATTTTTGCAGGAGTTGGAGGTCAAAATTTGTTACCAGATGTGGAAGAGAAATGATTATAGTAGTTTGGCTACAACAAGGACACTAAGGAGGGCATTAGAATTAAAATTTAAGAGAAAGAGATTTATTACCCAAAAAAGATGATTCAGTCAGATACTGGAAGACATTAAGATGGGAGGAATGTTCTGGCAAGAAAATGGAAAGAAAGATTGTGGGACAAAAAAAGAGACCGGGGACCTCTCAACCACTGACCCATATAAAACAGAAACAATGTTATGTGTAGGAGAAAAGTGAATAATGAATTGGAAAGGATATGGAAGGGAGCAGTTAAGGTATTATCTTGGCATTTGCCTGGAAGGACTCAGTAGAACTATAAAAACTGTCAGGATAGCTAGTCTCTGGTGTGTGACCTCCAAAATATAAAGTACGAGTATGTGGGTATGCACTTGTTGCTAAATGGAATATACACGTATTTTTGTATGACACAGTGTATTTGGTCTGTGTAAGCTTAGCTACCCAAATTGCCAGGTGGATTTGACCATTTTCTGACCTGTTTCTCTATAGCCAGAACTTCTTCGGTTTTAGGTCCCATTTCTTTATTCTGCTGTTTTTCTTGCATTGCATCTTGGTTGAATACTCGGCTTACTGAGGACTGTATGTCTTTTGTCAGGGTCTCCAACAGTGATAATATGATCTGTAACAATCATAATGCACACTCAGTATGTTACATAGTTTATAACAGCTCAAAGCATGAAATACATATAAACAGTATTAAAAAATTCATTTCGTACCTCACAGAAAACACACTAAATCTCCATGACAACAGCCAGTATGTTAATGTTGCTTATGGAAATCATCACTGTTTGCTCTGAGAATCATAAGAACTTGTAAATATACTCCATACAATAAATTCAGAGTTCTTTTTATTGTTATACAGTTACCACTGTGTTAGAGGGTTAACACAACACCACAGAAATATGAGATTACTGTGATGCTCTTCATGAAACAATGTCACAAATGCACAAAATGAAGAATTCAAAAACAGTGTTTTGAAGAGACTCAAAACATTTTTGTTCATTGCTCTGTCCATAAAATTAAGGTATAATAATGAAGAAGTCTGACAACATTTATTCTGCCTCACTAATTAATCTCCTGCCAGGTAAGGTTACATAACAGAACATGACAGGAAAACATATATTGGGAAAAGTAAAATATAAATGATAAGCCATTTAATATTTTATTAAGCACAGTGTATCATAATAAATACATACATGCTGAGTCTAAATGTTTCTGATGGCATATTAAAAAATACATGACTATTGTTCTTGACATGGTCCATCTTCTTGAGGGTTTTTTAACACAGTGCTTCAGAAATTGAGTCCATTTCCATCATCAGAAGTGTGGGAAGCAATATTCCTACAGGGTCACTGGCCCACTGATGGAAAGTTGCTGTTTCTAATGTGTGTAGATGAGCAGGAACCTTTCCTCCCCATACAGCTGATGATGGAAACATATCCAGTTAACTCGCTCTTATGTGAAAATGCTCAAGAGAATGGATAATGTGCAAAATAACATTCACGTTTATTTTACATACATTTATCTCACAGAATTTGTAAGTAGGTGAGAAGTCAGCGTGTGACAGTTACTGATATTTTGCTCCCAGGGAAAGAAAATGAAATTTTAACATGCAGAATATAGTCCAGCATTGTTTAGTTTAGTAACGCACATGAACAATATGACCTATTTTACTGAACTTGAAAGAAAGGGAAATACATACACAATTAAATTTGCAGCAGGGATTTACAAACATTGTTCCTTTCACTACCAAATCCTGCCCAGTAACTTCTGAACCAGTGAACAGATCTTCATAAAATTTGGTATTAACCATCATGCTATTAGAGGCCCAATTATTTACATTTCTAACTATGTACCGTAAGTATCATCTTAGCGGTTATGCAAACTTCTAAAGTGGGACCAAGACTGATGTTAACATATGGCCCTGAGTGTCATGTGGTAGATCTTAAAAAATTACGCAGTTTCTGTTCAGAAAGTTCTGGTTTCACGTAAAGCAGTATCACTTTTAACAGTATTATCTTTTATGATGTGATATCATGCAGTCAGAAGTTTACAGACAATTCAGAACAAGTTAGTGCCTCCACCTGCAGGGTCAAGATGGAAGCAGTACATTTCTCTGAAATGTTGGGTACACTTTTACCAGACCATGCAGTGTTACATGCCAGAAGATGGTACACTCATCATGGTTATCACTGTGAGAACAACAAAATCCGTATTTAGCATTCAGTCTGATAGCAGTAACTAATAAACCACTGGAACCTGGCATGTGGAATTTTACAATGAGACACATCATAAACATATCTACAAAATTTATATGAACAAAAATTATATATAGCATTATGATATTGAAACACTAAATACATATTTCTTTTAATTTGAAAATGGATCCTAATATTGGCTTCTTAACAGTGGATGTCAAGGGGTTGTTTTATGACTAACTGTCAGCTGATATCCTATGGAACACTGAACTGCAGTCAATAAATCAATGCATAAAACCGCTGTGCAAAGCCTCTAGAAAATTACAAATTTAAAAAGATTCTGTAAATTTCTTAAACCATACTTGAAGATACAAAAACAAATGGATGAAAATAACCACAGCACTTCACTTTCTCAACAACTACACATTCTTTATCCCAATAGATCAGATTTTGAAACTTAAACTTCTGTCAGATTTGCATTGGGCTGAGTGTGGACCTTCCCAGTGACTCGCATTTTAGACACACGTATGGTATGCTCCTTGGTCTTCAAGTTCTTGGTCCTGGGTGCATCGTCACCCAGAACCCACTTCTCGGGATTCTTCACACTTGCTGGATGACCGCTGTATGGTGTTGGGGGTGGAATGGTCATGAGTCCAAAATGGTTTTCAAAGGCTTCATTTTTGGGCTCATTCTGCTCATTGCCTGATGAGATATCAAAAAATGACTCACTCTGAGGAACGTCTGGAATCACTACACGAAGCTGAGAAGTTTGAGGATCAGGTAAGGTGTGAGGCTGCAATTCAGGTATTACAAGCCTTAGTGGTTTGGGGGTACTCAGAACTTGTTGTCTTCCATCAGGTGAGACTGCTGAAGGATTGTATGTTTTGTCTCCATGGTAACCCTGATCACTATTATAAGAATCATGAGGAAATGCAGAACCAAGCAGTTGAGTTTCAACATTTTGGAAAGTACTATAATCAAACTGAGGATAGTGATTGATGTTTCCATTTTGAAAATTACTATATGTTTCTTCAGAAGGGTTAGTTGGATGTCTAAAATTTAATACGGAAGGAGATCCTTCTCTTGAACCATTTGTCTTTGTATTTACACCAGGGATTTCGAGAAAAGAATTATAATGTATGTCAGGATAATTATGAGTATCCTCCTTTTGATAATTACTGGGAGATTTAGAATTTAATATTGAAGAAAAAACTTCTGTTTGTGGATTGGTGTTCGGGAATGTCCCAGGATTTTGTATAAAAAGATTATCATAACGTGAATCAAAGTACTGTCCGATATTTTCAGTTTGATAATGACTATGTATATCTTGAGAATTACTAGGAACCTTCAAATCCAGTGACGAAGAAGATCCTTTCCTATCACTGGGTTTAGAATTTGCTTCAGGATCTTGGAACAGTTGCCTGAAATATGGAGCTCCATTCTGGAGTTTCCCATTATCACTGACAGATGAATTGCTAGAAGTTCTGACACTTTGTGGCTGTCTATTGGTGTTGGAATCTATTTCAGGGTTGTGAAAGAAAGGACTGAAATATGAATCAGGAAACTTCTGAATGTTATCTCCAGAGGAGTTACTGGACTCCAGAGATGAAGAACTACCATGGAATAAGGGACTGTAATGACTTTCCAAAGGTGGGTCTTGTGCTTCATCATAATCATTATGACGTAATTTTTGCGACAGATTTGAAATATGAGATTCAGTCAAGGGTTTATATCTCGGTGTTCGATTATCCTTTACTCTGTCTGATTTTGCTGCGGTGGTACTGAGTGCATGTTCTGCATACTTTGATGATAGCTCTTGTGGGTAGGCAACGCCAACAAATGATGGCTCTGGCGGTACATAGTGGTCGCTTTTCTCCACATGTTTATTCCTTGATTTATGTGGAATCACAACTGCAACATATGACACTGGTGACTTGTCATCATTTTCCGAATCGTGATCAATCTTTGCGTTCTGTTGGGAAGATCGTGATGGCTGTTTTTGAAGCAAATCTTTCTTATTAAGATCCAAGAGATAGTCAGATATTGATGTATAGTTATATAGATTCAGCAGTAGTGGAGATGTATGATCTGGAGCTTTCTTGCTTGAAGTCACATTTGTCTGTTCCGGATGCTGTATGTCAACTGAACTGTCAGTGCCCTCAAATGCATGGTCAAAAGGTGGTGGCCACAGTGGATTTTGTTTTGTTCCCTCTATTTCATGTATTAGCTCTGCCAATTTAGGTCTTGATGTGGAATGAATCGGCATTGGTGGTTTGTCTGTAACATCCTGTCCATGTGTTGGTGGTTTAGACAGATCAGGATTCTCAGTGAATGATGGGTCAGTATGTTCTTCTGGGCTGCCACTGGAACCATGTGGCGTTCTTTCATCATCCTCCTCCTCCTCTCCTTCCTTTAATTCGTTCTGCGATTCTGACGATTCAAATGAAGGTTTCTCAGACTGACTGCCTGAGGAGACATGCCATTCATGAACAGGCTCAAACCCAGGGCCATCAAAGTATTTTGGCCTGGTGTACTGATAATGTGGTTGAGATGGCTTGTCCTTTTGTTCATCTGTGTCAGACTTCTGAGTATCACGTAATCCAAATTCATATGGACTGTTGTCTGCAAATGAATAACGGCTATTCCAGAAGTCATCATCCCATGTTTGGAGAGATGGAGCAGGAATCTGATTGTGGTAATCACCATCTTGGTGTTCCTCTTCTTTGGAATGCTCGCCCTGGTTTTGGTCTGTAGAGTCCTTTTCACCACTTTCTTGTTTTGAGTTATGTTCCTGCTCACTGTTTACTTGTGTTGATTTATGTTGTTGTTGTTCTACTGTTTCTTCTTCCCTGTGATTCTGTTCAAGTTTCTCTTTGATAGTCTCTGGTGACTTTGAATCTGCTTCATTACTACTTTCATCATTATCACTTTTGATGGTGACCTCTTTCTGTTCTTCTTGTACTGCATTAGCATCATCCCCATTATGTTTACTTTCTGAAAGTTTATGGTTAGCTTTATCATGATTAAAAACTTTCGGCTTGTCATATTCACTTTCCACGTGTTCTTTATCCCACTTCTGATCACTTCCAGCACCACTGTTCTTGAGCTGATTACTCTTACCACTGCTCTGACCCATCTTCTCATCATTCCTGCCTCTCTTGCCACTTCTAACTGGACCCTTAGAATGCTGACCAATCGTTTGAATATAATCATCTATTTTATCACTTCTAAAACGACTTCTGTAGTATTTATCAGTTTTTTCAGTACCCTGGCCATCCTTGCCACTGCCACCACGATTATAATCACTTCTAGAATAACCATCACCATTTTCGTCTTTACCACGGCCATCTCTATATCTAGAATAAGGATAATCTCTGTTCTTATCACTGTCACCAGCAGTCTTTTTATGTTTCAAGTCCGC